ATGCTCAGCACAATGGCTGGCACATAGTTTAAAACTTAAAATAAAATATAGCTATTACTATTATTGAGTGTTGTTTCCATTATTAGGTTAAAGTACTTAGGACACTTTGATTTTCTTGATTATTTATTTGGACTACTTTTCATATCATTAAGGAACTGTCTAGAGGAAATTAATCATGGGGCATTTCCACTCTGAAATGGAAAAACCAGATCCCTGTCCCCTTCAAACAATACTTTCTGGTTATGCATATTATGGCGTTCCTGGCACTTTCTGATCTCTCTGCAGTGTAGCTGGGTGCCATCAATGTGGCTCTTCACTCTCACTATCAAACAGATAAACTTAGAGAGGATAGTAGTCCTTTAAGGGACAGACGACTTAGGTAAGGCTAGATCCTCAACCCATCTCAAACAGCAGAGAAAGCTGGATCGCCCCAGCCCAAATGGCCAGTCCTCCAGGTTCTCAGTGACTGTCAAACTCATGCTGGCTGGGTGGGCTTCTTCTTCATGGGATTCATTCCAGTAGCTGCCCAAGGGCTGACAATATACAAACATCAGTCCTTGGCTGAGTTATGATGTATTTTTGGTCTACTAACTCCCAGCTCAGCCCTTCCCTGCAGCAAGTTCACTCTGAAGGACTCTGAAGGTGGGCTCAGCATTTTCCTTCTGATGAATTAGCATCTTCTTGGTCAGGGCTGAAAGGGCTGACTTGCTCATGGCTTCTGCATCAAAGTTCAGCTTGGGAGACCAAAGACCCTCATTTGTCCCCACATCTAACTCATCCTTGTGTAACTTGGGGCAAGTCACTAGCTATAAATCTGTTGTTTCTTCAGGGGTCAAAAATCTGTTCTGCTGGGTGAGGTGGAGGTCAGATATCCATGGATATTTAGAAAAAGATAAAGTACCTACATGCAAATTGAAGTATTATGACTTAGGGAAAGAATACTGATGCAGTTAAATGAATATCCATGAGACTAGCAGAGTTGCAATGTTTCTCAAGATTCAAACAGCACTTGTTACAGGTGGGGAAACTGAGGCACAAGGCGGTTAAGCAAGCATTCCCAATTAGGGACAAAGCTAGGCTTAGGTGCCAGCTTCATGACTTTACATCAGGGCTTCATCAGACCCTACATGATGCAGGTCCCCCCTCCCATTACCTTTCTGACCTCTTTGGCTGCTCGAGTACCTGAGTTTACTTTGTTCCAGGTATGATATCCTCCTTGCAATGTGACAGCACAAAGAAATACTCTGGTGAAAGGGTTGGAAGATTAGATTGACAAAAATTACCTGAACACAATAAAAAGACAAAAAAAAAAAAAAGCAAAGTAGAAGAGAATATTGTCTCTTTTAAAAAAATGAATAACATGCATCTGGATAATAAGAGTTTTCAAAAGAAAAAAATAAAATGAAAGGGAAAAAATTGTTCCCTCAATAATTCAAGAAAAATTTTCAGAAACAAAGAACATGTGTTTATAGTTTCCAAGGTCAGCACAATGACAAGGTACACGGCCATGGAATTTCAGAAATCTGGTCCAAAGAAAACTTTACAAGGTTCCTAAGAGAAACAGTAGGTCCTAAGAGTCAGATCAGAGTGGTTTTAGACTTCTCAGCAGCTATTCCAAAAGCTAGAAGGCAACAGAGTAATGTCTTTAAATATTTAAGGAACATGATTTCTAACCTAGGAGTCTATATTCAACATCTATATACAACTCACCAAAAATAAGAAAAATAACTTCTTTCTCAAAAACCTTGTGAAAGAAGACTTGCTCAACGAAACTGAGAGAGTGAATCAAGACACATGGGCTCTGAGGAATAGGGTGTCCACTTCAGAGGCAAACAGGATTGCCCAGGAGGGAGGGGAAGGAGGATCCAGAATGAGAGCTGGTTTTTCTGGCATCAGAAACAGTAGCACAGGTTTGAAGGCCCTAGGAGCTTCCGACTCCTGGGAGGTAAATTGATCACTTACCTGATGCGGAAGGAGGTCATGACTTTCCCAAAATGAAATCAGTGATGACAACATAGAAAACAGAGCAAATTTATTCAAGACAAATATAAACGTCATGGAAAATAAAAGGTTGTGCAATAAAAATACACACACACGTACACACCCAATAAGATAAGATGGTGGCTTAGGTAAACACGGTACTTGGAACCTTTCACAACCACATCAAAATTACAACTAAACTACAGAACAACCATCATTCAGAACCACCTGAAATCTAGCTGAATAGAAGTCCTATAACTAAGGATTTACAGAAGAAGCCATGTGGAGACTGGTAGGAGGGGCAGACCGACAGGCTGGTCTCACACCCAAGTTGGCAGTTAAAAAATCGGGAGGCATATCTTGGCTGATGAGGCCCAGGGGCCCTAGCCCTGCGCCAGGCCCTTTAGCCCAGGCTTCTCCTGGCAGAAGAGAAGACCTCATTATTACAGGCTGTGAATAATTACCAGCTGTGAAAACCAGCAGAGATTGTGGCTGAGTGAGACTGAGCGGGAGTCCCAGGTGTTCCTTCTAATGGACCAACACATGGACTTATTCAGACTCACTCCCTTTGAGCTCCAGTGCTGGAGCAGCTGCTTAAAAGGTGCCAGGGACATATGGAGAGAAATGAAACTGTCTGGCTCGGGGCAAGGGCTGAAGGGGCAGCTTTCTCCCAGACAGAAGTGCTGTCAGAGGGCATTGTGTTTTTTGAGACCCCACCCCCCATAGAGCCAGCAGGCAGTCTCCATATCTGAGTCTCCATCAACCCTGCTCACATTGTTCACCCTGCCCTGGTGATTCCATGAGACCCTGCCCCACCCAACATGTGGGCTCACCCAAGCTGTTTCCAGTGGCTTTTTCATGCAAACAGCCTGTCTTGGCTCATGCTGTCAACTTTACTAAAACCTCTCAAACAAGCAGCATCTGTCCTCTGTGTACCCAGTACCTCTTGCTCAGTGGCCCTGCCAAGCACTAGGAGTATCCAACCTTGATTCACAGCTTGGCTTCTCCCAGCCACATCCAAGCCCAGCACAAGTAGCAGCCATCCGAAGATCACTTTTTAGCTCATGCTGGGTTCTCTTGGCAGAACACAGATGGTGACTAACCTTGACCTGCACCTCCCAGGAGGCCCTAGAGCAGGTACCAAAGCACCACCCAAGGGGTGGACTCAGTGGGTACCTGAGCCCCACTGAAATGAGTACTACTCTGTGGCATTGGCCCCTTCACAGCAGAGGTGGTCACAACCAATCCTCACAGCTGATCAGCCTGGGAGTCAATTCCTCCTATTGATGTGCTATAGCAATCAAGGCCCCACTACAACAGGAGGGTGCACACAGCCCACATAGGGGTGCACCTGGAGTGCCCAGCCTGGGTGACTGGGGAGGCTGTGCCACCACTGAGCCCCACAAGACACCTCCTGTATAAGGCCACTCTACCAAGACCAGGAAATATAGAAGTTCTACCTAATACATACAAACAAACACAGAGAGGCAGACAAAATGAGAAGACAAAGAAAGATGTCCCAAATAAAAGAACAGAACAAAACTCCAGAAAAAATAACTAAACAAAATAAAAACAAGTAGTCTACCAGGTGCAGAGTTTAAAACATTGATTGTAAGAAGGTTCAATAAACTTACGGGAAGAGCAGATTAACTTAGTGAGAATATCAACAAAGAGATAGAAACTGTGAAGATGGAGATAGAAAACATAAAAAAGAACCAGTCAGAAATGAAGAATACACTAACTGAAATGAAAGAAAAACATTATAGGGAATCAATAGTAGAGTAGATGAAGCAACAGATCAAATCAGAGGTTTAGGAGATGAGAAAGCAAAAAACACCTAATCAGAACAGCAAAAAGAAGAAAGAACACAAAAAAGCAAGGGTAGTGTAAAAAGCCTTTGGGACAACTTCAAGCATACCAATATTCACATCCTGAAGCTACTGGAAGGAGAAGAGAGAGAGCAAGAAATTGAAAACCTATTTGAAAAAAACAATAACAGAAAACTTCCCCAACCTGGTGAAGGAAATAGACATACAAATCCAGGAAGTGCAGAGAGTCCCATACAAGATGAACCCAAAGAGGCCTACATCAAGACACATTATAATTAAAATGGCAAAGATTAAAGACAAAGTAAAAATCTGAAAAGCAGCAAGAGAAAAGTGGTTAGTTACCTACAAGGGAGCTCCCATAAGACTGTCAATCTTGCCCTGGCCGGTTTGGCTCAGCGGTTAGAGCGTCTGCCTGTGGTCCTGAGAGACCCGGGTTCGGTTCCCGCTAAGGGCACGTACCTCGGTTGCAGTTTGTCCCCGCCCTGGTCAGTTGTGCGGGTGGCAGCCACTCGATGTGTCCCTTCACATCGATGTTTCTCTCTCTCTGTTCCTCTCTCTCCCTCCCACTCTACCTGAACAAAAAATGGAAAAATGTCCTCGGGTGAGGATTAAAAAAAAAAAAAAAAAGACTGTCAATCTTATTTCTCAACAGAAACTTTTCAGGCATGAAATATTTAAAGTGATGAAAATCAAGAACCGCAACCAAGGTTTCTCTACCCAGTAAAGCTATCATTTAGAATCAAAAGACAGATAAAGAGCTTCCCAGACAAGAGAAAGCTCAAGGAGTTCATCACCACCAAACCATTATTACAAGAAATGTTAAAGGGTCTTCTTTAAGAAGAAAAAGATTTAAAATATAAATAATAAAATGTCAATAAATACATGTCTATCAACAATTTCTATAAATGCAAATGGATTAAATGTTCCAATTAAAAGACATACAGTGGTTGACCCTTACATATGCTGTGTACAAGAGACTCACTTCAGATCAAAAGACACACAGTTTAGGCAAAAATTGGCCCATTGGCCCCTCTTACTGCAAAGCTGACTCATTTCCTCCCTTCTGTTTTGGTACTTTTACATTTGGAGATCTTCGTATTTCTCTAAGGTCATCTATCTAGATACTTAAGCCTGGGCCTTTCTTACAATCTAGCTCTTTGGGTTTTTTTCTTTCTCCTTCAACTCAGCAACATGAGTGTGGATTCTGCTTGTCCCCAAAGCCTGCCCTGCTCTGAAGCATCCAGTTCTAGGGAACCTTCACCAGTGCCTGAGATTTATGAGCCTGAAGAAGACTATGCATCCTTGCAAGTCTCATCTGCTGAGACATTCTACATGGAGACTGTCTCTCCTCTTCCTTCCTCCATGGATCTGCTTATTCAGAACAGCCCTGGTTCTCCCACCAGTCCCAGTGAACTACTACCCACTTCTGTAGAGAACAGTACAGGGAAGAAGGAGGAGAAAGTCCAGGTCAAGAAACGGAAGATCAGAACCATCTTCTCTCAGACCCAGCTCTGTGTACTCAATGAGAGATTTCAGAGACACAAATATCTCAGCCTCCAGCAGATTCAGGAACTATCCCACATACTGAACCTTAGCTACAAACAGATTAAGACCTGGTTCCAGAACCAGAGGATGAAATGTAAGTGGTGGCAGAAATACAACTGGCCAAAGAATAATAGCCATGTGACCCAGATGAGCACAGCAACTACAGAGTACCTGGGCCTCTCTTCCTGTCACCAGGAGTGCCTGGTGAATGCTTCTGGAAACCTCTCAATGTGGACCAACCAGACCGGCAGTAATCTAACTTGGAGTAACCATTCCTGGAACAGCCCATCTTGGAACTACCATTGCTGGAATAGTCAGACCTGGTGCCCCCAAGCCTGGAACAACCAGGCTTGGAACAGCCAGTTCTATAGTTATGGAGAGGAATTCCTGCAGCCCCAGATCCAATTCCAGCAAAATCATGTCAGTGACTTGGAGGCCACCTTGGAAACTGCTGGGGAAAGCTATGATGCAATACTGCAAACCCCTAAGTATTGTAGCACCCAGAAAACCATGGATTTATTTCCAGATTACTCCTAGCAAAATCCTGTCAGTGACTTGGAGGCCACCTTGGAAACTGCTGGGGAAAGCTATGATGCAATACTGCAAACCCCTAAGTATTGTAGTACCCAGCAAAGCATGGATTTATTTCCAGATTACTCCATAAACATACAGCCTGACTCAATGATCACATAGCCATGAACATATAGTGTGATGATGGGTATGTTATTCAATCTGAGTTTGGGCAGTGGCTGTATTACCTCCCCTAGGAGTTTTCTATCTATGTGTCTCTGCCTTGGTACGCTGCTTCTCATTATCCCTGTTGTACCCATTTGGAGGGATGGGGGTGGGGTGTGACTGCTGTATAATCAAAGAAGTTTCTGCATTCTTGCTGCTGTAGACAAATGATAAAAGATGTCTCTGGCTGCAGATAATTAGATATAATACTATTTTGGATAACTAAAGGATCTAAAATCTTAACCGCAAAAATAGAAAGTAAAAGCACAAAGATATGTGATAAAGGAATATTCGTGTTTTCTGGGATTGGGAAACTTGTTAAAAAACTCAATTCAGGTGAATGGTTAAGCTATAATATGCTTCACTGATTTCCTCTGCCCCTTTTGCTGTTTTACTACATACAGTCCCTAATTTGTTTATTACTCATATTTGTAAAAGATGTTTTGTATTTTGCTGTATCATGGTAATAATACCAGTTTGGTTGATTGGTTTATAAGTTTAAATACAAATAAATAAAACTTCTGTTTTACTGTTTAAAAAAAAAAAGACACACAGTTAAAAGTAAAGGGATAGAAACAGATATTTCATTAAATGAGAATGAAAAAATTTATATGAGGTAGCAATATTTACACCAGACAAAATAGACTTTAAAACAAAGGCTATAACAAGAGACAAAGAAGGACCCAGAAATTTCACTTCTGCATATTTGTCTGAATAAACCAAAAACACTAACTCAAAAAGACATACACATCCATGTTTATTGTAGCATTATTTACAATAGCCAAGATATGGAAGCAGCCTAAGTGTCTATCAATAGATGAATGGATAAAGACGTGGTAAGGAGATTCCAAAATGGTAGCAGAGTGAATGGAAGCTACACAGATGATCTCTCAGGACCAAACTGGAATTACAACTAAAATAAAGACAGATTATTGGGAAAAACCAGCAGAAAAGAAGCTAAAGAGCACTATATAACCAGGGGCACACAAAAAAAGGACACTGAATCCAGCCTGGTAGGTCTGTGGGGGCACAAGAGGGCGGGCTGGAAGCCCACAAACAGCAGCTGTTTTAGCTGTGAGCAGTTCTCTCGGGGTTAAAATCCCAAGCCGGCTCCATAGCACAGAAGGCTGGGACAGAGCACTAAATTAGCTATAGCCACTCACCTTGGGCTTTGGCAGAGGGAGGGCAGACTGGACTGGAACTCTGTGGGGACACCCAGGATTTGGAAGGTGTTTTTGCTGAGTCTTGGCCACACAGGACTGTGGCCATCTTGCTCCTTCCTGGAGCTCCGGGGAGAAGTAGCAACCCCTCCCTTGGAGATTTAACCCCACCCAGTTGGGCCAGATAAATGCAAATTGAGGCTCATTAACAACCAGCATCTGCCCCACCCTCTGGAGATCCTCTTACACTGAACATCTGAGGAAGTTTTTTATTCAGTTTAGGGCTACAACACAAGACTCATCAAGTAACTGAGACTAATAGCCTCAAGGCAAAAAGCTAGAGGATAACTGACCCTTTTCTAGGCTTGCAAACCTACCCAGGAAAGTAAGACTTAACAGTGGTATTGAACGTGGGTCTTCCCACACTCATCCAAACCCAGTAGAGGGAGCCACAAACAGCAGAACACCAACACTCAAAGGGAAAATTTGACAGGCTCCAAAACCCACCAAGATAGCCAAAATGGTGAAGCAAAGAAACAAATCCCAAATGAAAGAACAAGAGAACTCTATCAAAAATGAGATCAATGAAATGAAGCTAAGCAAATTATCAGAGGTAGCGTTCAGAGCCATGATCTTGAGGAAGCTCAACAGCATGAGTAAGGACATCAACACCATGAGTAGAGACATAGAAACATTGAAAACCAACAAAGTGGAAATTAAAATGACATAGCAGAAATAAAGAACACATTGGAAGAAATAACCAGCAAACTAGAGGAAGCTGAGGACTGGATCAGTGAATTAGAAGACAGGGTAGAAAAAAATCAACCAATCAGAAAACCAAAAAGATAAAACAATTAAAAAACAGAAAAACAGCTTAAGAGAACTGTGGGACAATTGCAAATGTAGCAACATTTGCATCATAGGAGTTGCTGAAGAAGAAGGAAAATGAGCAAGGGTTAGAGAATATATTTGAAGAAATAGTGACAGAAAACTTCCCTAATTTGGTGAAGGAAGAAGGCATTCAAGTTCAAGAAGCACAGAGAGCCCCAAGTAAGAAGAACCCAAACAGGCTCACACCAAGACACATAGTAATTAAAATACCAACAATTAAAGACTAAGAGAGAATCCTAAAAGCAGCAAGAGATAAGCAACAGGTTACCTACAAAGGAACCCCCAATAAGCTATCAGCTGACTTCTCAACAGAAACACTACAAGCCAGAAGGGAATGGCATGAAGTAATTAAGGTCATGAAAAAGAAGGATCTAAATCCAAGACTACTCTACCCAGCAAGGCTATCATTCAAAATAGAAGGTGAAAGAAAGAGCTTCCCAGACCAAAAAACAACAACAACAACAACAAAACCTAAAGCAATATATTAGCACCAAATCAACATGGCAAGAAAGGTTAAAAAGACTGCTGTAATTAGTAGAAATAGGAAGAAAAATATAACCACAATAAACCAAAATGGCAAAAAATAAGTACATATCAATAATAACCTTAAATGTAAATGGACTGAACACCCCAATCAAAAGACACAGAGTAGTTGATTAGATAAGAAAGCATAACTCATCTATATGTTGTTTACAAGAGACCCACCTCACAACAAAAGACTCACATAGGTTAAAAGTGAAGGGATGGGAAAAAAATCTTTCAAGCAAATGGAAAGGGAAAAAAAGCTGGGATAGCAACACTCATATCTGATAAAATAGATTTTGAAATAAAGGCCATAACTAGAGACAAAGAAAGCCACTACATAATATTGAAAGAATCTATCCAACAGGAAGATATAACCTTGGTAAAAATATATGCATCCAATATAGGAGCACCAACATATATTTAAAATCTTCTGGAGGACTTCAAAGGAGAAATCGACAGCAATACAATCATAGCAGGGGACTTCAACACCCCGTTCACATCACGGGATAGATCCTCTAGGCAAAAATTAACAAGGAAACACAGACTCTCAATGAAGCACTAGACCAAATGGATTTAATAGATATCTACACAGAATTACACCACAAAACTGCAGAATTCACATTTTTCTTAAGTGCACATGGGACATTCTCAAAGATAGACCACAGGGTAGGACATAAACTAAGTCTCTACAAATTCAAGAAGACTGAAATCATATCAAGCATCTTCTCAGATCACAATGGCATGAAACTAGAAATCAATTGCAACAAGAACATGCAAAGACAATTGAACACATGGAGGCTAAATAGCATGTTATTAAACAATGAATGGGTCACCAAGGAGATCAAGGAAGAAGTTAAAAACTTCCTGGAAACCAATGAAAATGAAAACACATCAACACAAATTCTATGGGATGCAGCAAAAGCAGTTCTGAGAGGGAAGTTCATTACACTACAGGCCTACCTCAAGAAACAAGAAAAACTTCTAATTGACTATCTAACCTCACAACTTAAAGAACTAAAAAGCAAACAAAAAGAAAACCCCAGAGCAAGTAGAAGGAAGGAAATAGTAAAGATCAGAGCAGAAATAAATGACATAGAGACCAAAAAACAATTCAAAGGATCAGTGAAACAAAGAGCTGCTTTTCAAAAAGATAAACAAGATTGATGGACCCTTAGCTAGACTCACCAAGAAACAAAGAGAACCAAAATACACAAAATCAGAAATGAAAGAGGAGAAGTAACAACTGACACCACAGAAATACAAAGGATCATTAACAAATACTATGAACAATTATATGGCCACAAATTGGACAACCTAAGTGAAATGGACAAATTTCAAGAAACACACGGTCTCCCAAAACTCAACTGGGAAGAGATAGAAAACTTGAAAAGACCAATAACAACTAGGAAAATTAAAGATATAATCAAGACTCTCTCAGCAAACAAAAGCCCAGGCCAGATGGCTTCACGGGGGAATTTTACCGAACATTCAAAGAAGAACTAACACTCATTCTCCTCAAACTATTCCAAAAATTTCAAGAAGAAGGAAGAACTACCAAACTCACTTTATGAGGCCAGCATAATTCTAATTCCAAAACCAGGAAAAGACATCTCAAAGAAAGAAAACTACAGGCCAATATCCCTGATGAACATAGACTCCAAAATCCTGAACAAAATACTAGCAAATCGGATCCAGCAATACATCAAAAAAATTATTCACCATGACCAAGTAGGATTCATCGCCGCAATGCAAGGCTGGTACAGTATTCACAAATCAATAAACGTGATACACCACATAAACAAAATGAAAGATAAAAACCACATGATCATATCAATAGATGCTATAAAAGCATTCCACATAATCCAGCATCCATTTCTGATATAAATGCTCAGCAATGTGGGAATAGAGGGATCATATCTTGACATAATAAAGGCCATATATGAAAAACCTACAGCCAACATCATACTCAATGGGCAAAACCTAAAAGCATTTCCTTTAAGAATAGAAACAAGACAGGGATGCCCACTTTTGCCACTCTTATTTAACAAAGTACTGGAGCAATCAGACATGAAGATAAAATAAAAAGGATCCAAATTGGAAAGGAGAAAGTGATACTGTCATTATCCATAGATAACATGTTATTTTATACATAGAAAACCCTAAAAACTCCATTGGAAATTTGCTAGATTTAATAAATGAATTCGGCAAGGTAGCAGGATACAAAAAGAAATTGATGGCATTTTTATACACCAATAATGAACTCACAGAAAAAGAAGCTAAAATCAATTCTATTTATCATTGCAACAAAAAAGTTAAGATACCTAGGAATAAACTTAACCAAAGAACTAAAGGACCTGTTTGCAGAAAACTAAAGGACACTGA